CGCGCGCGCTCGCGGGGCCCCTTCGCGAGCGGCGGCGGGATTGGCTGCCGCCCATCATGTGCCAGTCTAGACACTTTGGCGGCTCCGCGCGGCACCGGGCGTTGCGCAAACACCGCATCGGGTTTCCGAGCTCTTAAAGGAACACGAGCCCCGCTGCACGAACACACACACACACACACACACACACCCGTCACCAACCGCCCTTCCCTCTCTCCCTCCCTTCTTCCCTCCCTCCCATCAGCGGGGACCGGGGATGGCAGGAGGAGGAAGCGGGGGGGCCTGTGTCCCGCCGCGGCCCCCAGCCCCGAGGAAAGTAGGTCAGGGCGGCGCGCCGGCAGCGCAGGGGTTAAAGCCGCTCCCCCCCGCCGGAGCCGCCGCGGCGGGACACACCCCCGCGATGTATCAACTTGTCCGCCGCGGCAAAAGTTCAGGCCCGGCGCGCACCTATTGGTCCGCCGCAGCGTGACGTCATGGCAGCGCCACAGCCTATTGGTCCGGACGCCGAGCCGGCACCGCCCACCCCCTCAAGCGCCTCCCGGCGCGGCGTGCCCGTGAATGAAAGACATTCCGCGGGCCGCGCGGCGCAGGGTCCTTGTGCCCGCCCTGTGCCCCGGCCGCGGCCTCGGGGGATGGGGGGGGGGGTTGGGGCAGGACGGACGGGCGGCTGCAGCGGCGGGGCAAGGCCGCCGGCAGCGGGAGGGTGGAAGCGAGGGCCCCGGAGGTAGGGGAGGGCCGACGGGGAGGCACGGCGCCGCCTCCCGCCCCACGCGGCCGGGTGGGAACGGCGGCGGCGCGGAGGGAGGGAGGAGGGTGCCCCTGTGGGAGATGCGGGTGGGGATGGGACCCTCCCCCCCGTTAATTAAAAACTGAATGAAATACCGTAAAAAAGCGATTCTTCTTGCGGGGTTCAGGCGAGGAGGTCCCACGGGCACAGCAGCCTTTGGCCGTGGCAGGGACACGCTCCGGAGGCACCGGCCGCAGGGCTCGATCCTGGGGGATCGGGGGTTACATTCCCCTCGCTCGTGGAAAGCAGCGTGGTGTGGGTCAGTGGGAACCTGGAATAGCAAGCGATGGAGCTTTGTCTGGGGGCTCAGCCCGGGAACCCACGGGGAATTGTCAGTGATGAGTGAAAATGAATCTCAGCAATTATTTCCCTGCAGCTGATCAGCAGGGAAAAAAACACCCCCAAAAATAAACCAATAAAAGTATTTCAACCAAGAAACTGCAGTCAGACCTGGATGTTCATCGTTTTCCTTGTATCTTTGCATAGCCAAAGGTTGATGTCCACATTTCCCCAAACCTGCAGGAAAACACCCAATACACTTGGTTAAGTTAGTGCATTTTTTTACAGCCAACTTCATTCACGTGCATCAACTACGTAAGGGATGGCAAAATACCCCGTTTAAAACCTGTATGTGGGACCCAGTGGTGTTTGCACCAACATAAAGGTAACACATCCATAGGTCTTTGACTTCAGGGTTACTTCTGCCCTTAACTGACCAAAGCTCCTTTTCCCTTGCCCTTTCTGCAGTAAAAGCAGGTGATGTTATTTGGGCACTGGCTCACTTTGGGTGGAAATGATGTTCGTCATGGCCCTGTGCTCTCAGTGACCTGCAGAGCAGCTACAGTTTGCACCTACATCACCATTATCACCATTTAGAGCTATTTACAAAAGTCAGCCAATGTCTCACTGTGTTAGGAAGATCCTTATAGCTTCTTTTTGCATTAGGGAATGAACACAAGTTAAGTTGAAAGTCATGGAAGGGCTGAAAATAAAGATTCTCAGACATGGAAGCAGGAATTAGGATTTCCTGGATCTTGGACCCAGGCAGGATCCCTGCCCATCCCTAGGCTGCTCCAGAGAAGTTCCAAAGCTTGTTTAATATCCACATTGATCAATATGCCCTGCATGACCCCAGCATTTACCCCTTAAATGCAGCTGACGCTTTTCTTTCCAATATCATATTTACACACTGCCAGCCAAATTACAGTATGTCACAAATGTGCAATTACCCACATTTAAATACACATAAATATAGCACTGTTTAAACTAAGGATAGGTTATTATTTCAACGTCTTACTGCTTATCCAACACTATATAATCATAGTGCGTGTAGCATGGCATGAAGAACAATGGAGCTTTCATGGAATGCCGACCATCTCTGCGGGCACAGGTATGTGATGGAGAAGCCCTGATTTCCCCCTCCAGTGCCACCCATTCCAGCTCCTGCAACAAGAGCACATTGTTCCTTGCACTAACGTGGGCAAGGAAAACAAAACACTCAATTGTACTTGTCATAATGCACATATAATTTTTAGTAATGTCAGTTATTAAAGGATTTCTAGTAATTAACAGCAATGTGCTCTTTCACTGTCTCTTTTTCCCCCACCTCTTTTTCTTTGCTTGTAATAACAAACATTCCTGGGAGATGCTCTGGAACACATCCTATAGGACTTGGCACAAAAGCTAGGGAGAAGCTTTTGAAAGCCTGCCAGGCTTATCTGACATGGATCTCCCAGGTACTATATAAAGCCAAACCCTCTTGGGTCTGAGAGGATGGTGGGTGGCCGAAAGGGCATCAGCACCAGTCTCGTTCCAGAGCCAATCTATGGCTGGGGGTTGCCATCGTGTCCATGCCTGTGGGGTCTGAGGCATCAGCAGGCACTGGGTTTTCAGTAAGGAAAACTAATCTTATAATAATTTTCAGCTTTATTTTATCTCTAGTATTTTATACATTTCCGGTCAAAGAGAGGGATGCAGAGGTTAAAGCCCAAAATGAATAATGGCCATTTAAATAATGCTTTGATGGCTCGATTTGTAGATTATTTAAACGCTTTGAAAATGGGGTTGAACTGGGAATCCCACTGTGGGGCAGTGAGGGTTGGGGACACTGCACCCCCATGTCACAGCCTGGGGACAGGGACATGGAGTGTATGAGCCCCACCAGAGAAACCACAACGGAACTGCTGCGCCAGAGCGAGGGGTTCTGCCAAGAACTAAACCGCCTCATAAAATCAGGCTGGTTTTGCTGGAAGCTGATTTTGAAAGGAACCAGAGAAAAAAGGTTTTGACAACATCAGAATGTCCCATTTCCTTTGTTTTAATGACATGGCCGTGATTTTCCAGTTCAAACCGACTTTTCATTTTACCCTTGCAAATGTTATATTCTGTGTGGTAACACACTGTGATAGGACCTTGGCCTGTCTTCAAAATGGAAAGAGCTAAAATCAGAACAAGGCATTCTGATAAGTCCAAAGTTGTTAAAAAAATAGATGTTTGAAGAATTTTCCTTCATGGGGAATTTCACAACCGCTGGGCTCTGTGCTCCCAGAGCTTGGCACCATGAAATCCTTGATGCAGAGTATGTGATCCACCCCACCACCTCAGTGTCTGCCTCCATCCCGGGTGGGCTGCAGCTACAGCAAAGCCCATCCCAGCTCCTCAGGGCTCCTGTTGTAGCCATCCTTTGCCACCACTCCTAGGACACGTGTCAGGGGAACACACTGTGGGTTGTTTCACATCACCGTACACTGTTAAGACCTGGTGTTTGCTACCTCCATGTGTTTTCCAGTTGGCAATAAATGCAGTGTGTAGATGGCTCCGAGATAGCCTGAGGTCAGTGGTTTGCACAGACTGCTCTGAGTTGTGTGCGTGCTCCCGTGCAGCTTTTGCCTGCATCCCAATGGGGAGCAGAGCAGCCCCTCATCTCCTGGGACACCTCTGTATGACCTTCCTCCCTGCCAGGAGATGCCCACATCAATGCATTTATATCCCAGCACAGCGATCCGGAGGGCTTTGCACTGGCAAAGTTTGTGTTGGCACCTTTCCTCCAAGTGGGATGAAAGTTTTGCCATCCAGCGATCCCAGCCAAATCCCCACTGGATCTGGTGGCACCGCGGCGCGTGCTGCGTTTGCTGCCTAGGTCCAGCCTGTCCCACAGGGCCTGGGGGGTGAACTGCGGCCACAGCAGCCAAATTGCTCAGGGACAAAAAGAAATTAAATATCCTCCAACATTTATCAGAATCACAAAGGGGATGGGTCGAAAAAGGGACAAAATCCAATGGGAATTCACCAAAACCCGCATTTCACTGGACCTGAAATTAATGTTAATGGGTTAATGGAAACTCCACAAGGCAAAAACTGCAGGAGTTTCCAGGCTTTTCAAGGCCCTTCCCACCAGTATCTGCTGTGGGTGGGGACAAGCTGACTCACAGTTTCCAGGGCTGTAGTAACATTTCAACACCCCAGTGCTCCAGCCTTGGGGACTGATGGCAAAGAGCACAATCCCAGCAGAATGGTTGGGAAGGATTTTTGACAATGTGTTTTCTTGTGTCAGAAAATGCCTGTTTGGTAAAGCCAAAACTTTGTGGAAGTCATTTGCTACCAAAAAAAAAACAAAAAAAAACCAAACAAAGTGCCGCTTGGAAAGGTTGCCTGGGCCCAAGCCTGGATTTCTAGTCAAACCCAAGGAGGTACATTCATCTCCCAACAGGTCCTCAGCAGTGGGTGATGGCACCCATCCATAGTGGTCCCTGCTGCAGGAAAGGCCCCTTGCTTGGAGCAGGGACATGGACTCTTGAATCCCAGGAGAAGACTCAGCTCTATGGGTGGTTGCAGCCTCATTTCTCTCTCGGATGCAGCTTTATAAGTCATTGTTATTTGGGGAGAAAAAGCCCAGATGAGATGGAGATGGATGCTGGAGATGAGCGCACCCATCTGAGATATGGCGTCTTGGGTTCAATTCCCTGGTTTGGGTCAGGATGAACAGGGACTGAACCACAAGTCAGGCCAGTCCACAAGACCAGGACTATCCCCTGTATTATTCCCCACTGAGCACACTGGATTACACCAACAACTGCTGAGAACTGCTGCTGGCTCAGGAGGTTGGTATCAGTGAGGGAAGAGCAGCCACTGGCCACTGCCAGTCCTGTGCCCAGTAGCTACGAGTTGGCTTTGTTGGCTGGATGCTCAGTGAAACATTGCTGATTGATAGTTCCAGTCCCGTCCCTGCTACTGGCATCTAGGAGAGGACAAATGGCACATGGGGACAGGACCAGCCTCTGAGGAGGTTCCCCTGCTGTCACACCTCAAAACTGCTCCAACCCCGCGCTTCTGTCCAGGATGACTGAGGGCAGAAGTTCCTTAACTGCTGTACGCACTCAATGAATGCTGTAGAGAAGATGGGGGAGGTTAGGCCACTGCTCCTCCAGAGGTAGGTTTCTGAGGACTTCTTGGGGTTGGAAAACAAAGCTGTGATTCCTCAAAGCAACAGAATCTTGTGACCCTCCCTCTGCTTTACAGATTCATTTGACAGCTGCAGGATGTGGATCTCCTGACCACCAGTGTGGCACAGGAGTGACTGCCAGGCATCATTACTCCTCTGTGCTCTGGAACGAAGCTGCTGATGCAGGGGAAGGTCTACCTGCCACCAAACCTTCCAGTGTCTTTCCCAATGCCATTGACAGTGATTTTCTATGTCACTTTGAACTAATAATCAGATAAAATGAGGCATGGGGGGGGACAGGATGAAGACATTGACTCTTGGGCTTTAATCTAGTGCTTTATCCAGGAAGACATCCTACCTTGTGGCCCATTATGATCCAATGTGAGCGCCGTGGCTGGCTCCCAGGGTTCTCACAAGCAGGTACTGGTGCAAGATGAAGTGGATGGGGAGGAGAAGTCATGTTCAGCCAGTGCAAGGATGGTGCAGCCTCTGAGACTCCTGCAGGAGAGAGATGTACATGCTCAGTCCAGCCATCCATTTGCATGAGAGAAGAGGGGATTCTAGGCCCACAACAACTCATAGCATCTACCTCAGCCCCATTCTGTCCTTCCCCAGTTGCAGGCAGCACAGCAGGGCTTTGCCATTAAACTCCTCCTGCCCTGGTCTGGCTATAGGAGTCAAGTAATATCACATAAACCAGATGCTGTGTTCAAATAGGAAGGGAATCCCAACTGCCTGCATCCACCAGAGGATACATCTGAAAGCCACACCACCCATAACAAACATACAGGAGTTTGTCCTTTTTATCAGCATTTATTCAGCAGCCTGTGGAGACAGTCTGCTTCTCTGGAGCCCTTTCCAGGCAGATAACACCCAGTTATGAAACGGCCCTTTACTGTTTTTTGGGTTGGCTTTGGTGAATTGTCATTTTGGAGCTGGAAAGGGTCTATCTGAGGAAGGATACCAGTGTGGTGCTGCCACCAGGCTGGTCTAGCAACAAACGGTGTGTAATATGCCAAGCCCAGAGTCTTTAAAAGTAAATCCATCTCCCCCTATCCATATTTACCCATACAATTTGCAAACACAAACCTGGAAGTTCCCTGGGAGGGCAGGATTAAGAAAAGGATTACTCTATTTGGAGCTGGGCCAGAGAGCTGAGGGAGCCTACACCTATGTCCAAAATGGATTTTAATTGAGGTTTGTGGTGCCCAGTGGTGCTCTCCTAGAAGCAGGAGCTAAAAGCACGGTGGGGCTGGACGAGAAGGAAGCATCGGTTGACGAAGCCATCAAAGAAGAGCTGAGAAAGGTCAGATATAAATGGCAACCTGTCCGTTTATGCAATAGTTTGCTCTTCTATTTATGATGGTATTTTCTGGGAAGAGCTGGTCAGAGCCAACTAGGGCAGGCTTGTAAAAAGATAATTTTTCTGCCTTAGAAAACACAAAGGCAGACAGACGGGGCTGCTGGCTTTCCTCCTTTCCCAAGATCTGCTGCCCTGGGCAATTTGTTCTGTTGCAGCAGCTTTTTGCTGAAGTGACTGGCGTCTGGTGCGCTTCAGAGCAGACGCCAGTCACTCCAGTAAAGAGCTGCTTACCACAGCTTTGGTAAATATTTTCTGCAGTGGTGCAGCAGTGTCTTAAAGAGCAGCTCTGTTATTTCATAGGCATCTCCAATAATAACGCGGAGAGAAGCAGCCACAAAACATTAGCAAAAGCTGCTGCCACTGACCAAAACTTCAGAGAAGCAGGAACAGAAGTGGGAAGAGAATAGAAATAGTGACTGAGTCATTGGCTGGAGAGGCTGAAAGCAGCAAGGCTGAAAGCAGCTTCAAAAGCTGGTCCCAGGACACCAGCTTCCCCCAACTGCTTGCAACCTCAAAATGGGGATATGAAAATCATTATGGGAGAAAGAGAATACTGTCTTCTCTGGTCTGAGCCTGGACTGAAGGTAGCCAGAGGCAATCACTTCTAAAGTACCAAAATGACATTGCTTTTTGCTCCAAAACTGTGTTTTTGAGTATCTCTGCTGGCAGCTGGCTGTAGGATCTCCAGGGCTTGCTCATGCAGAAGAACGTGAAAATGGAAAGTAGGATTAAGGAGGAAAGGAGCTGACCCTAAAGTCATTGGCACTGCTGGGTGTTACTGAGAGCAAATCATCCTTAAATAGGATACAGAAGTATGCAGTTTGACCCAGCAGTAGCACAGTTGCTTCTTAGACACCCAGCACATGGAGCAGGCTTTGCTGAGAAAGGAGGTGGTGGCTGGAAGCCACTCAGGTCTCCAGGGGATGTTCTCCATCCCATTGCCACACCATGGAATGAGAAACTCCTCTCTGAGCAGGCACCCTGCAGGGTCGGTCCTGCTGTACCTTAAACAGTGCTGAGAAGACATCTCTGTCCAGGAAACTGCTGGCTCCAACATCTCAGAGATGATCAGAAGCAGCAGCTTCTTCCCTAAGGCAGCCTGGGTGCCAGCAGGATGTCTCCCTGCTGGGCAGCCACCCCAGCCACCAGTACATGGGCACAGACCTGTGGATGAAATGCTGAGTCAGGCAGCCCTGGAGGTGCAGGTCTCCCCTGCAGACCCCAGACGTCCTTTTGGAGCCACAACTGGGGTTTTCCATAGTTCAGCACTAAACCGTCTCACTGCTATTTTGGTGCCAGGCGTCTCTAGCAGCCAAGCCCTCGGAGGGTGTAAGTGGGGTAGCCCTGATCACCTTCCCTGGATAGGTCGCAGCCAAAATCTGACCTCTTGTTTACCTTCTTACACAGATGATTACCTGGGACCATGCCTGACTCCACAGCCTGACCCCGCATGCTGGCTCTTACCCACTCTACCCGAAGTCCAGCCCGTGCTACAACTGACCTGGCACAGGGATGCAAAACTGTCCCGATGTCTGGAAACAGCAGAAGGCTTCCTATGGCCCGTCAGGCTATCCAGGCACAATGTGGGATGAGAACAAGAGGATGGAGCACTGACTGGAGCAGATACCTGATAACAAATGACATTTTACATGAAGTGAGTGTTTTTTACCTCTCAGCCTCTTTTTTTTGGCTACTGAGTAAATGATGATTAATGCACGATCATCAGCTGTGGATGAACTGAGACCAAAAAGGCAAAAGGGTGATGGCTTTAACCTGCCAAAGGGGAGACTGAGATGAGCTCTTAGGCAGAAGCTCTTCCCTGCGGGGATGCTGAGGCGCTGGCACAGGGTGCCCAGAGAAGCTGTGGCTGCCCCATCCCTGGCAGTGTTCAAGGCCAGGTTGGACACAGGGGCTTGGGAGCAAGCTGCTCTAGTGGAAGGTGGCTGGAACTGGATGAGCTTTAAGGTCCCTTCCAATCCAAACTGTTCCATGATTCTATCAAATTGTGTTGCATTAAAAAGAATAATCCCCAAGTTAGGACATCATTTTTGTCTCAGCTGACAGAGCTGCCAACACCTCCCGAAGCCACCTCCAACTGAGGGCTGCAGCCTGCTCCTGCTTCCACATCCCCATGCTATGGCACTGGTCACCATTTGTGCCAAAGACCCCCTGGCTCACCCATGCCTTGTACTGAGGAACAGCATGCTGCCAGTACAGTCCCCATACTCTCAAGGCAAATGCTCGACACACAGGACAAGAGAATGACATCAACCACCCCAACACAAGTTATTAATCTCACCATTAGCCAAACAACAAACGTTCCTCCCCGAGTCGTAAAGCAGGGGTGGCATTTTTATTAGCTGAGGTTTCCTCCTTCCTTTTTTTTCCCTTCCTTTTTTATGGCCTTATCCACAAATGCTGAGAGCCAGAGGGAATTATTTGTTACTTACATTAAAGCAAGAAGCCATCAGACCACAGCTCCACAACCACTCCCCATATCATTATTTTCTTCTTTTGGATTTATATGAACCTCATTATTAAACCTTAGCTAATGCAGACATCCTAACAATGCACCGAGTGCTAATAACTGCTAAGCAGCATTATTAATTATTGTCATTACAGCATTGCAAATAGATTTTGATTATATTAAAGAGAATACTTTCCTACTTTTCCAACCAAAAAAATCCACAAATGTAGCTTATTAACAGCAATTCTATTCTTCTTGGTAAAACTATTGTTAGATTGCAAAGGCAGCTTGTCTGGGCCCTACAAAAACCATATCACGCTGGGATGGCGTGGCATGTTCTCAGACTGGTGTCACTTAGCTGGGGTTGGGGCTGGAGAGAGCTCAGCAAAATGTGTTAGCGGGGATTCAGAGGAGGAATTGAGGCCTTGAAGCATGACAGCACCCAGTGCTGGTGGCCTATAGGAGACCTAGAAATACATACATCTGCCTTTGAGCTTACACCCCCCTTATATCCCTCCTAAAGCTGACATCAGTGGATGCTGGCAGGTTCCATGAAGGCCTGGGGGAACCAGGATCATCTGTCCCATGGGTGTTTCTGTGCAGTAGGCTGGAAGCAGATATAAGCCCACCTATGTCGAGTTATAGAGCTGACGATGTACAGTATAAGTCCAAGATCCTGTGACAGGCTTTCTCATCATTAACCCTTGCTTATAGCATTCAATGGAATTACTCATGCTGAACCCAGACACAGGAGGGCCACGTAAACACACAGCCACACTTTTAATTAAAGATGTGCTGAGATAAAAAGCTTCAGAAAACAATTTTCAACAATTAAAAGTAATATTAGAGGTGTTTGTCTGCCCCATCTGCATGTGTCCTGAGCAGCTGCGGAGGCTCGATGCACTTTTGCCATCACTGTTTGCAGTGATTGCTCTCCGCTTTGCTGTCAGGCTGAAGGGGCATCCAGACTCTTTGCTCCAAAGAGTTAAGATTTCACTTGTCAGGCTGTTTTTGTTTCTATTCACATGTCAGTGCCTGTCATTTATTTAGTCAATGGGACATGTCCAAGGGATGGAGACAGACTGGGTTAGTCATTCTGACCGTGGGTCGCCAGTCACTGCAAACTGCCTGAGGTCATTTCCAAAAGCGCCACTAACAATGAGAGGGAAGCTGGGCCCGGGAGACCTGCAGGAAACGGCGAGGAGATTAAAGACAGAGATAGTCCTTTGCAAAAGTACACTTGAGGAATGTTCCCTATGTTCTGTCAACAGAGTTTCTTCCTCGCTCAAGACTGTCTATTTTAAGTCTGAGCTCGCACCAAAAATGGAAATCCTTGCTCAATTGCTATCAGCGGATCTTGGGATTCTGGGGCTGCAGCAGCGCTACGGCCGAGGAAATGAACCCTCCAGCTTGGCCTTTGCTGCTGGAGCAGCTTTAAACAATTCCTCCTTGCAGCAGCAGCTCTCTTCTGGGTTTGCTCCTTTGCCTGGTTAAACCTGGCTGGAGCCCATGGTACCACCCTGCACTGCCTGGGAGCATCCAGCATCGTCCCACCGCTGTACCACCGGCACTGCACCTGGCTCCAGGGATGGCACCTCAGCCCATGCAGGGCAGCTGAAAGCAGAGGAGGGTTGCAAGGGCCACAGTTCAGACTCAATCCACACTTCAGGACATTCTCCTGCTTTAAGGAAGGGAATGGAAAAGAAGCATTGAAACGCAACCATAAATATTTGCTGCTGCATCTTGGGCTGAAATCAAGCCCCGTGACTGCAGATCTGGGGGAATGGGAAATTCCTCTGGCAGCCATCTGGGCGTCAATACAAGGCTGAAATACAAGAGCAGTTTTAGGTGCAGAGATGCACATTTTGCTTTTTAAGCGAAATAGTACAGGCTGCTCTTATTAACACACAAGGTACCTCTGGGTGTTTTGGAAAACATTAACAACAACCACATGATTGGTGTAAAACACTGATTTTCCATCCAGACTCTATTGTTTTCAGATAAATACATTCCATCAAGCTTCTTTTTTCGTATCTGAACTTTCTGCATGTGGCTTTTCTCTGTCTCAGACTGATAGGAATGGGGGATTAACAGCCTCCTCCTCATGGTGGCCCAGGAGGAGCCACCGGAGCCCAATGACTCAGAAACTAGTGACAGGGACTAACCCAGCCCTTTGGTTTGGGTGCAATCACCAGTGACATGGGACAGGGGTTAAAGGTAAGGAAGGGGCAGGAAAAGGAGCTGCACAGTGGATTTGAGCTGCTTTGCAGAGGTAAGGAAAAGCAGCAAATGCATTTCTGTCTTAGAATGCAAACATCCATCATGGACACAGACGAGAGTATCCAAATTCCTCAGTGTTGTATTTATGAAGCCATTCGGAGACATGATACAGGCCAGTTCCTGAAGATTTTTCCATGTGTTGTTAAAGATTCAAATTACAGAGCAATTTTCAGGCTTTGAAGACATTGGTCTTGGTATTGCAGAGCCTGGAGGCTGCTCCAGGCAGGGTCTGTCTACGCTGCAGACAGGAGATAACGCAGAGCCACCACGAGCACTGAGCGAGCTCAGGAGTCAGGAGCAGGCCAGGAATGACGGCACGGAGGCACTGGGGGGAATTTGCTCTGCTTGCAGATAAGGGAAGCATCCTGCTTTAAAGCACAGGATAAACAACTTTTAATATGCAAGGGAATTATCTGGAGAAGCCCCCAGGAGGAAGTGTGTCTAGCATGAGGCTCTGCAGGCACATCTGTGCTGCGTGGCACGGCACTGTGCAGGGATGGTCGCCCAGCCTGGACACCCAGGTGGATTTGGGTATCCAAATCCATGCTCATGGATGCTCACCGGGGCCACGTGAGGCTCCACCAACTTGCAAAAGGGAATTGAGATAGTTGTGTCTGTCTCCATGAGAAGAGCGTGGCTCCTGATCTGTTGGTGGCCTCATGGTTGCCCATGTAGGACTTGGGCCACCCAAGGGAGAAATCACCAAAGAGTTGGGTGAAATCAGAAAGACTTAAAAACTCTTTTTCAGCTCAAAACTGGCAATACCAATCACTTTTCCCCACTAATTTCAAGGCAAGGTTGGATGGGGCTTGGAGCAACCTGGTCTAGTGGAAGGTGTCCCTGCCCATGGCATGGGGTTGGAACTAGATGAGCTTTAAGATCCCTTTGAACCCAAACCATCCTAGGGGTCTTTGATAATTACACAGAATAACCGACCTAATTAAATTTGGGTGTGTTTTCATTGATAAGGCTGTGAAAACGCTCAAGGCTGGAGAAGACAAGTTTCATCTCAGAGTGACAGCATTCAGGAGAAGGAACGTGATCACAGCTGCTCCCCAGTGCTCCCCATGAAGCTGCAGGGTCCATCTCACTGCAGAGCCACAGTCTGAACCCTCGATGAGCATCAATCCTGCATGGCATTCCGGGGAATGCGGGCACAAGTTCAGCCCTTTGCCTTATCACAGAGAGGGGGATGGAGGGAGCAGAAAGAGCTAATCTCAAGTTCAGAGCCTGATTTACGGCTGAGGCCTCAGGCAAATCACTTACTGGCTTTGTGGTTTCATTTCCTCATCCCTAGAATCTCTTTCACGGGTGATGTGTGAGGGGGAATTAACATTCAAACGTTGTTTTTAATAAATATTTAAAGATTCATCTTGTGTTTTATGACTATTTCTGAATGATCTTCCTGCCCTTGGGTAAGGGTCTTTCCCTGCCAGCTCTTTAATCTGAGCTCCTCTCCCTGGAGTGGGTGCGATGGCTCTGCTGCAGATTTGTGCTTTCATTGAGTAACAATTAAGCTGCCCCAGTTCAACATAAAGGCATGTAAAGAAAGTTCTCTGCTGCCAGTTCCGCATCACACCGCGCTGGATGCCAGCAGGACACATCAAACCAAAGTGTTCCTCTGCATCAAAACCAAAGCAGCGCCCAGCACACGCTGATGAGCTGTGAGCAAGCTCCAAGTGACCCCCAGCACTCCCAAATTCTTTATTTATGTGTGAAGCATCAGTCAAAAACTCTGTTTTCACTAGCTCAGCATGATTTGGAAGTGAAAGTGTGGGTTTGAAGCTACCCTGTGCTGAGGCCAGTGGAAATTCAGCATGGGTTTGACCTGAGGACTGCGCACGCTTCAGTCGCTGCCTGTTTATTGTTAAACTCATTAA